GGAGGAAGTGGAAAAGGAGGAGTTGGAGAAGGAGGAGGAGGAGGAGGAGGAGGAGGAGGAGGAGGAGCGTTGGTCCTGTTCCGACCGCGCCCCTTGCGCGCGCCGCCCGAGGATGGCTCGGAGACGCCTATGACGTTCGACTCCAAGTCCGACGAGGAGGAGGACTCGACCGCAGCACTCCCTGAGCATTCCCTGGAGCGGGCTGGGGGTACGAAGCTGTCCAGCACTAGCTCGGGCCAGCCAGAGGGGGGGGGGCCAGGTTCGAGGCCTTGGGTTCGGAAAACATTGCATGTGTGGGGCTCCAGGGGCCGTTTTCGGGCACTGGTAGCCTCAAAAACAGATTCGGGGTGAAAACCTGCACCGGATGGACCTTGAGAGGGTGCCAAGGACAGATTTTGAGCGGATTTTCCCGTATCTCTCCCTCTTGACAGATCCTCTTGGGGACCATCTTACTCACAACCCCCGGCCGCTTCCAAGCCATCCAAAGCTCGGCATCTGCGCAAAGGAAGGGAAGTGGGAGGCGGCGGGGAGGACGAGGTGGGGATTCAGGAGGACGAGGAGGAAGAGGAGGAGCAGGAGAAGGAGGAAAAGGGAGAGGCCCGTAGCTATGTTGGCCCTGGTCCGGAAACATTGTTCAGGACGTATTCCTTGTTTTCAGAGGGGGGAAATTGCGCACTTTGCTTACCGATGTTGCCCCAGCAGACGCCAGACACTTTCATATTTTGACAGGATCACAGATCATTGCGCGCTCCTTTGTCCTTTAGGACAAGAGTTTCAGGTTCATTTCTCCCGGTTCGGAAGCGCACGATGTTCAGATCTTATGCGTTTGTTACCTAACAGCGAAGACTGATAGGTTCCTGGTGGGCTCAAAAGAGAGCATCCTGACTCCGGGGGGTCTGGGCGGATGCCGGGGAGAATCCGGGGACTCCCCGGGACTCCCCAGAAGGGGTTTGGGCGGGTGCCGGGGAGGATCCGGGGACTCCCCAGAACACCATTCCCAGGCCACATTTTGAATGCCGGGAGCCAACTGTAGGCCATTTCGTGTTCTTCGTGTTCCCAGAACACCATTCCCAGGACCCATTTTGAATGCCCGGAGCCAACTGTAGGCCACTTCGTGTTCTTCGTGTTCCCAGAACACCATTCCCAGGCCCCATTTTGGATGCCCAGAGCCAACTGTAGGCCACTTCGTGGTCTCCGTGTTCCCAGAACACCCTTCCCAGGCCCCATTTTGAACGCCCGGAACCAACTGTAAGCCACTTCGTGTTCTTCGTGTTCCCAGAACACCACTCCTGTATGCCCGGAGCCAACTGTGGGCCACTTCGTGATCTTCGTGTTCCCAGAACACCAGTCCTGTGCCATATATATTTTGAATGCCGGAGCTGAGGCAGGCTGAGGCCGAGGCAGGCTGAGGCCGAGGCAGGCTGAGGCTGAGGCTGAGGCACGCCGAGGCAGGCTGAGGCTGAGGCTGAGGCAGGCTGAGGCTGAGGCAGGCTGATGCTGAGGCAGGCTGAGGCTGAGACAGGCTGAGGCTGAGGCTGAGGCTGAGGCAGGCTGAGGCTGAGGCAGGTGAGGGCTGAGGGCTGCTGACGCGAGGCAGGCTGAGCTGAGGGCTGAGGCAGGCTGAGGCTTGAGGCAGGCTGAGGCCTGAGGCAGTGAGGCTGAGAAGCTGAGGCTGAGGCTGAGGCTGAGGCAGGCTGAGGCTGAGGCAGGCTGAGGAAGGCCTGAGGCAGGAGGCTGAGGCTAGAGGCCGAGGCAGGCTGAGGATGAGGCTGAGGCAAGCCAAGGCAGGCTGAGGCTTGAGGTTGAAGCTGAGGAAGGCTGAGGCTGAGGCTGTGGCCTGAGGCTGAGGCAAGCTGCGGCTGAGGCTGAGGCTGAGGCTGAGGCTGATGAGGCAGGCTGAGGCTGAGGCGGAGGCAGGCTGAGGCGAGGCAGGCTGAGGCTGAGGCAGGCTGAGGCTGAGGCCGAGGCAAGCCGTGGCAGGCTGAGGCTGAGGCTGAGGCTGATGCTGAGACAGGCTGAGGCTCAGACAGGCTGAGGCTGAGGCTGATGCAGGTTGAGGCTGAGGCAGGCTGAGGCTGAGGCCGAGGCAGGCTCAGGCCGAGACAGGCTGAGGCTGAGACTGAGGCTGAGGCTGAGGATGAGGCCGAGGCAGGCCGAAGCTGAGACAAGGTGAGGCTGAATGGGGGGGGGAAGGGGGGGGGGGGGGGAGGAGGGGAGGCTGAGGCAGGCTGAGGCCGAGGCAGGCTGAGGCTGAGGCAGGCTGAGGCAGGCTGAGGCTGAGGCCGAGGCTGAGGCTGAGGGCTGAGGCTGAGGCTGAGGCAGAGGCAGGCTGAGGCTGAGGCTGACGCAGGCTGAGGCCGAGGCAGGCTGAGGCTGAGGCTGAGGCAGGCTGAGGCTGAGGCCGAGGCAGGCTGAGGCTGAGGCTGAGGCAAGCCGAGGCAGGCTGAGGCTGAGGCTGAGGCTGAGGCTGAAGCATCCGTAGGAATCCTTAGAAATCCCTAGGAATCCGTAGGCATCCTTAGGAACCCGTAGGCATAGCTAAGCATCCTCAGGAATCCTTAGGATTCCCTAGGAATCCTTAGGAATCCCCAGGAATCCCTGGGAATCAGGATTCCTAAGGTTTCCTAAGGATTCCTATGGATTTCCTGGGCTCCGGGTGCCCAGGTTCTTGGTCAAATTGGTCCCGGGCTGCTTTCGGAGGGTTCCCGGGTTCCCGGCCGATCTCCTGATCGATCAGACCATCCATTGACTGTGCTTCTTCTCTGGTGCGATTCTGTTGTGAGCAGCGGAGAGCGCTCGATTCTTTCTGCCGCCGAGATCTGCGCGCTCGCCCGCGGTAGCTTCGCGAAGGAGGTCGCGAAGGAGGCGGGGCAGACGCCCTGCGCGTCGGGTGCTCGGGGCGCCTTCTCGGCGGCCGCCGCCGCACGCGGGGGCTTCGGGTCGCTCTGCCGCGGGGGGGTGGTCTGCGCGTCCTCTCGTTTGGTCCTCTTCGTTCCTCCCCTTCCTCCTCCTCCTCATCCTCCTCCTCCTCCTCCCTCCGCCCTCCTCCTCCCCCTCCTCCCTCCTCCTTCTCCTCCTCCTCCTCCTCCTCCTCCTCCTCCTCCTTCCTCCTCCCTCCCCCTCCTCATCCTTGTCATATTTCTCCTCGTTCTCCTCCTCTCTCTCCTCCTCCTCCCCTTCTCCCCTTCCTCCTCCTCCTCCTCCTCCTCCTCCTCCTTCTCCTCCTCCCTTCTTCCCTCCCTTCCTCCAACCATCCCTCCCTGCATTCCTTCCCTCACATGTCCGCGGCCGCTCCCTTTTTCGCTGGTCCTCTTCTGCCACGGCGACAGGTCGCTCTGCCGCGGGGGGGGAGTCTGCGCGCCCTCTCGTTTATGATGTCCGCGGCCGCTCCCTTTTTCGCTGGTCCTCCGCTGCCTCGGCGGCAGGCCGCTCTGCTGCGGGGGGGTGGTCTGCGCGTCCTCTCGTTTGCGGTGTCCGCAGCAGCGCCCTGATTCTCTGGTCCTCTTCTGCCACGGCTACGGGTCGAGCGATCGCCCCCAGGGGGGGCGGGGCGCGGGCGTCGCGCCATGCTGCATTTGTTGCGCGGTGGGTGGCGCGGCAAGTCGGAGGATGCCCGTGGTGTCCACTCCGGTGGGCGCCCCCTTCGCGAGGCTGCGAGTCGGACGCGGATGACCGCGGTCGCGGCCTCGGCAAGGTACCCCTGCGTCTTGTGGTTTTTGGAGGCCATGCTATGATCGGAAGAGTATCGTGTCTTGTCGCGTGTCCTGTGCAGTCAGCCCCGCCTTCTAGTCATGAGGCCGTCTGAGGGTGCCCTCGGGGCCAGCTCGGGCCGTCCTTGTTGCTTTGGCAGGCTATCCGAAGGTTTCCCCCAGTGGTCAAATGCTGAACCTCCTTGGAAACCAAGCATTGACCCTCCTTGGGTCGTTCCATTGTTTCGCCTCTTGGGACACCAGCGGAAGTCCTTTTGGGCAACTCTTGGCTTCCTGAGGCCTCCTTACACATCTTCGGGAGGTCTCAGGACCTTCGGGGTCTCGCCAGGCAGTCGTTGCATGGTCTTGGAGCATATCGAAGTCGTTTTGGGGCGGTCTTTGGCTGTCGCGGAGCCGTCTTGAGGACGGAACTGCGGAGCGATGTTCTGAGGTTGCGCGCGCGCTGCCTGAGGGGGGGAGGGGGCGCGCCCCTGGGAACAGCAGGATCCCGATTGAACAAGCAGCATGAGTGTTCTAACATTGAGTCGGGCCTGTCCCTCTACAGGAGGAGCATTCAAAACTATTCAAAAGGTATCATATGGGGGCGATGTATTTGACTATGTTTGAACACTTCTGGATTATTTTTTACCTTTCGTCAAAAATCCGCCTTTAGGGGGACACGCCCGACCTAATTCTAACACGCCCCACCGTGCCGAAGGCACCGTAGCGGATGACGTCGTTGCGTGAGCTTTCGGCAGGGCCATTCGAGGTCATTGGCGATACGGCACAGGCCTGGCCCGCCACCACAGGTCCCTTACCCTTCTGGCTTCTGGCGAAAAGGCAAATACTCTCAGCACTGCCGTCCATCAACCGTTCCCTCCTGCTCTTGCGGTGCTGGTGCTGGAGCCCGTGCTCACGATCGCGCCCATGCTTGAAGTACTCAGCACTACCAGGTGCCCGTGGCAACTTCCCCCACCGTGCCAACGCAGCATCAGGTGTGGCGCCCTTTGGGAACCGCCCAGAGTAATGTTGCATGTGGCACATGCCGTCCATCCCCGAGGCTGTAATATGTGTCATGCTTGTCCGAAGCGTCAAGAGGGCTGTAACATGTTGAGACTTCTGTGCATGAGGGCCGAGAACCGTAACATGTGGCACCCCCTTTACACGGATCTCAGAGTCTTGTAACGATTACCATCTCGTTTCCCCGGCGTAGAGAAGACCGCAACATGTGACATTGAGGTGATTGTGGCTTGAGGGCCGTACAGTGTGACCTCCATGATGGTTGGCCATCCTACTTTTGCCTTCCTGCGGCTCCTGCTCCTCATCATCCGCCTCCTTGTGGTCCTGCTTACGGTCATAATCCAGCCTTGGGCTAACGGTACGTATGCTCATGCCCGCGTTGGGAATACGCATTTTCATGTTTTTGCTCCTCATCGGCATCCTCATATCCTCATCCGTAGCCATCTGGGATCAAGCCACATT